TTGAGCAGAAAAAAAAGAGAATTGCCATTTTGAGGCTGTACAGTGACACCAGCTGGGAGATTTACATCTACCACTAAATGATTAGTCAATAAAGAGGGGTCAAGCAAGCGCTTCACCCAGAGCTGTTAACGAATGTAACTCAGTGATGCACTTAACCAGAGAATCCTCCATGCATAGCATCACAATTGCATTTAAAAGGAAAAGCTTTAATGATACGAGAGAAAATTAATGTTAATGGGGTGACTGGTTTTGTCAATGAATAGAGGACATGGAGTCATGGAACAATGAAGGAGAGAAAAGGGTGTGTACACGCTTCAGAGCCAACTACATAAATGCATGCCCAAGGATGTATTTATGTTTCAGTTTATGCAGTTATGTGTAAGCATGTGTATTAATTTCTAATGGATATTCCCCCTGCCAGGTAGACAGGAGGCACGAGGAGTGAATGGTGGGCTCACAATGTCAGCGGCGAGGTCCTTCAGCCCTCTCACAGTGAGTACAGTGAGCAGTGGGAAGATGGTGATGTACCATGGTATGGATGAGATGGCAGGGACACTCTGTAAACCACATGTACATGTCAGCATGGATACACACAGAAGGACAAAGAAACAGAGTCTCACTCACACACACACACAAACAGCATCCTCAAGTAACAAACTAGACAGGTGAAAACTCAAAAATACATTACAAGATTGAGTAAACTAAAGAAAAGTGTAGGATTATTTTTTTAAACTTTATCATAAAAATGCAATGCAAGCTCAGATTTACTAATGTGATCTCCTAGCAGAGGAATCGATAATGTCAGGGTTAGGTGATTTTGGCAAAATGGCAAATCCATTCTATGGAATTCATTTTGGTTAGACGACTCCTTAAGGAAGCGGTTTGCAAATTAAATTGTGCATTTGAGCGTTCTCCTTTTGACTGGGGTGGAGGGTGGGCTGGGTTTGAGGATGTCCACTCCATCTTCTATAATATTCAAAAAATGTTAACACATGAAAGCAGCTCAAGAGCCAAGATCCTGCAGATCAATAAAGTATTACTGACAGCAGGTGAAATCAGTCTGACCTCACTGTGCGCTGTTGTCACTCACTATTCAGTTACAATTTTCTCAGATGGTCGAGTTTCAGACCTTCATTACTACCACAGGTGATATAGCCTACATTGTGTCGTTTTTGTTTTTCATGATTGTTTGATCCCTACAAAAGCAGCTGTAGCCTAGGGGTACATAAAGTGCGCAATGTAACAGACTCTGTCACAAATGGTTTGTATTATGTGAATTTGTTTTATAATCCACTGTAAAATCCTTCTCATTACTTGCACACTTCACCTGGAGCTTGAGAACATCACTGTTACAAAAGGGTTAGAGTCCAGATTCAGGTAAATGGGTAATCAACCTTTTGTCACACTGGCACCTTGGCTTCCAGTCCGTGTTTCATCTGCTGATGCTGTCTCAGACATTAAAGCACATTTTTACAGACTCACTTTCTTGTCTAATCATTAGATCTACTTGTTCACATTATACTGCTTTGTCATTATCACTATGACATGACTAATTGTTTTTGGTTGTTTTTACCTGATGATTTTATATGCGACTCTCCTAAAGCAGTTGATTTGTAAATAATGTCTTTTGTCAGTCATATTATCATATTATGCCATCTCCTTGAAATGGAGATTATTTTGTTGTTTGAGAAGTGCTAAACAAATAATTATAATTATTTGAGCATGTGGCACAATATTAGGTAAACAATCTAAAAGAGCAGGATATTCAGGTCACTCATCATTCCCACAACTTCAGACTGCACAGTCAGCGAAATCCACATGCAATCCAATTAGTTTAAAGTGCTGTAATGCCTATTTGAATGTTGTAAAGGTGAGATAGGAAAGGCTATAGCGTAGCACATAAAATACTCAAGACCAAGTCTGATTTTATAGAGCCAGAAGATGACAAAAGAGAGTGAGCAAGAACAACAGAGCCTTCATCTGACCTGCAGCACCACCATGAGGAGAAAGTAGAGATTGGCCACTCGCTGGAACTGTTCGAACAGCGTTAGAGGCAGAAAAGTCAGGGGGGAGTACTTGTGGCTGCACAGCACATTGTCCTGACAACAGATGAGAAAAGCAACAGAGAGTGAGAGAAAAGCACAAGGGAAACACATGTATCAACACATTTATCTGTTTCAGTGCAGCGTTGTGCCAACAGGTGTTAAGGGCAACACACACTGGTGATGTGATTTTTGAGGAGTGCACCCTCCTCAGCTAAAACCACACAAACTGTCTCATTTGTGTTGTATGTGCAATGATCTGATGTTCAGAGAAAGTCTTTTTAACCTATACACTTATATTTTTCATTAGGGAGTGTAATTGTACCATAATTATAGAAATTATGCCACAATTACAGAAAAGATTAGAGGTAAAAGCCATGAATACATCAGCACTGATAAGGTATTACAAGTAAAATATACTGCAACATAATAGCATGTAAGAAGCATTTAATGTTGTAGTCGGTGGATGTTGGTATCTGCCATTAACCAAGCTACCCATGTGATTCACACCACTCCAGTGTGTATTCATGACATCCTGTGCCACATGCTGTAACCTGACACCAGTCAATATGACAGTAACCAATATGTGCTGTCATTTAGGGTACCATGTGGAGTGAGTAAAGCACATGTATGACTCACCGCATATTTCCCCCAGCAGAAGCACAGAAAAGATCTCTTCTGTTTGGGTTTGTGGTAATGGCGGCTGTTTGCCCTCACCTCCCATGTGAGTCCTGTCACACGCATACACATTAGTCAGACTTTTAGTCGTACTCTCCATTTGCACATAGTGATTTTTTCATCAGCAGACAAGAAACAGTGTGTGTATGTGTGTGCTCCTGTGAATGCATGTTAATGCACCAGTGTATGCAGTGTACTCCTGTGAGCCATATGTCAAAGGGATTCTCCATTCAAACCCTGGAGCAAGCAAAACTGTGAAGAAACACAATCTCCTACAGGAGAAAAGTTCCATCTCAAGGTTCAGGCTAATGGATACAACACTGAGATTCTGTGTAAATAGATATAAATAGATAGATATAAATTAAAAACATTGAACTGTATATATATAATCCCACCTCCTCTACATGGATGACATCAAGCTGTATGCCAGGAGTGAATGAGACATCAACTCACTGATCCACACCATTAGGATCTACAGCCAGGACATCAGAATGTCATTCGGACTGGATAAGTGTGGCCGAATGGTAACAAGGAGAGGGGAAGGTAGTCAGAACTGAGGGGATTGTACTACCAGAAGGCAACATAGCAGATGTTGAGGACAGCTACAAGTACCTTGGGATCCTGCAGGCAAATGGGAACCATGAAGAGGCCGCAAGGAAAGCAGCAACCACCAAGTACCTGCAGAGAGTAAGGCAAGTCCTGAGAAGCCAGCTGAATGGGAAGAACAAAGTCCGGGTGATCAACACCTACGCCCTGCCAGTCATCAGGTACCCTGCTGGCATAATAAGCTGGCCAAAGGAGGAGATAGAGGCCACTGACATCAAGACAAGGAAGCTTCTTACAATGCACGGCGGGTTTCACCCCAAGTCCAGCATCCTGAGACTGTATACTAAGCGGAAGGAAGGAGGCCGAGGATTAGTGAGCGTCAGAGCCACTATCTAGGATGAAACAACAAAGATCCATGAATACATCAGGAAGATGGCCCCGAGTGATGACGTGCTTAGTGAATACCTCAGGCAGCAGAAACCAGAAGAACAAGGGAAGGAA